GATCCCTGAACAGACACTCCCTTAGCCCTGTCTCTTATACACATCTAGATGTGTATAAGAGACAGATATATATATATAAAGAAAAAATCTTACTACATTTGAAGAATTATTATATGTTATAATTAAAGCACACTATGACTGTATCAAAATTATTTAAAAAAATATAGTTATTATATTATAATTAGGTCAAAATTTGAGCTGTTGCCAAGCCTACCGGCTGGTTGTGTAGGTTGTGAAGTTCCATACTCCATTGGTTTAATTCCACTTTGGGGTTGTACATGTTTAGTAGAAGGTACATTACCATCCTCTGAGACTTGAATTGGCAGCTTTTTATCCCCGGCCCCTTCCGTCACGCTTATCTGCACTGGTGGTTTGTCAGGTGTTTTCTTTTCATTGCTATAATCATACCAGCTTATGTCATGAATTTTATCTTCTGTGATGTCTGGTATTAGGAGTTCTGCTAAATGTTGAGAGTCCGATTCAAAAAGTGACTCAGCTAGGGCCTGAAATGCTTTCGGTCCTTTACGAACTATATCGTTTAGTATTGCTGTGTTTCGCCTCGACGGTCCTTTCATTTCCTATATTGTTTACAATAATAATAATAATAATAATAATAATATAATAAATTGGAGTATTTGTATGAATTAAAACAAAATTGAGTTGAGTATGTAAATTTAAAAACAATTTACACAATAATAATGCTGAATGATGTAGCGCCAATTCCAAATCAATTTTGATCAAATGCACTAAACGTGACATAATAATCAATAATACACTGTAGTGGTCATTTACATAGTGCATTTCGTCACGATGGCGATTAAGTTTAATCAATTACAAACCTCGAAGTTTTCTTGCTCCGTAGGTTTGAAGATCTGGCGAGCAACAAGGTGTGGGAGAACCTCCTCAGCTTTCATCTCCTCCACCAACTGAACTCGATTCTTTTGTAGAGTCTTCTTGTGTGCCTTATCCATGATGATGCAGCTCACTCTACAGTGTACAGTATGAAATATAATTATGAATGATTGATAAAATCAAGAAAGTTGACTTTCCTGATTAGACCTAGGCCCTATGCAATTAGGCCTGGCATAAGCCATAGACCTAATTGTCAAACTGTGAAAAAAAAGATCCTTAGTTTTGGGCATGGCCAAGTAAGTAGGGTCTAGGCTAGCCTAGTTTAGTAGTAGTCATGTCATAGCCTAGGCCTAGTCTAGCTAGTAGATAGTAGTAATGGTTTTAACTATTTTAGTTACTGTGCATCTGTCTGTAGGCTAGGCCCTACATTATTAGGCCTAGGCCTCTAGGCCCAATAGTAGTAGGTCTAGTAACTACAGTAGCTAGGGCTAGGCCCTGCCCCTAGCCTAGGCAAGATTAATCAATGACAATCCCTAAATAAGCCTAGCTAGGGCGAGGCTAGGCCTAGACTAGGCTGCATGACAAAGGAAAACAAACAATGGAATGGCCTACCTCTCTGGGTCCGTACAAACAACACGGAATTAGTTTTATTTAGAATTAAGGTGTAATTTTTCTAACAGTCTGGTAGATTAAAGTCGATTTTTTTTCCAAAAAAATCTACTAGGCTAGGTCTGAGACTCTAGGCCTCACAAAATGTCACACTGATTTACTCTTTTTCTTACACACGCCGCAGGTAATGCGATTGCGTGTATCAAAAAAGATATGACGGCTCTCGCACTGTCGCTCGCTGACATTCATTTCCGCAATCCGCAATGACACGAGCACGCCACCAATTACAGTATGTTATTAGGCTTTCATTTCCAATCGTTACGAAAATTATACTATGTATGCCCCTCTCCCACCTGCGATTTTTTTTTCCGTACGAAACATTTGCATGAAACTTCACTCGGGCAATCTCGGATTGACTCGACTAAGTTCGATACGAGGAACAAGAGCAGACACTTCGCAATGTCGTGACGCTCGAGTTTTACTAT